GGGATTCAGTGCAACCATGCCATCGTGAGGTCCGCTATGGAAATGGTGACTCCGAGCCTATGGTTGGGGAAGTCACCCTCCCCATCAAGGTTCAGGGCACAGATATGCTTATGCCTGCCCATGTTCTTCACAGCAAGGGACCACCTCTCATCATGGGCTTTACGTTCTTGGAGGCCAATAAGTTGTTGGTTGATTGTACCTCCAGAGCCTTGACCCAGAAGGATGGCGGTGGGCAGGTTAAATGTCTACAGATGCAGGCCCCGCTGGCTACCTCAGCTGCAATTCCTACTTCCTCCCCTTCTTGCCATCCAACCTAGTCTTCAGCTCTACCACTGCTTGTCGAACGCTTTCCCATCCAGGGTTGTCTTCCGCCCTATCCAGCAAAGAAGTTTTCTGGAGATGCTGCTTTCGATTTCTTTGCCCCAACGGAGATTCGCTTGAAGCCCGGGGAGCGCCAGACGATTAACACTAGTATTGCTTGCCAGTTTCCTGCCGGTATGTGGTGCTTGCTAAAGGGCAAGTCTGGCTTGGCTTATCGCTATGGCCTGCAGGTGTTGGGTGGGGTGGTGGATGGCAATTACAGGGGCCATATAAAGGCTATCTTAGTCAACACCGGCTCTGATCCAGTTACCATCCCGCGCAATGCTGCTTTCTGCCAGGGTGTTCTTTTGCCATGTTATTCACCTCGTATGGTCCCTGGCACTGTTCGGGTTGCCGGTGAGCGGGGGACTAGTGGTGGGGTCAACCGATACATGTTGGGAAACGGGGGGCGGCGCGGCCCAGCGGCGGCTGTGGGCCGCGACTGAGCACCTTTCAGTCGCCTCGGGTAGCTGTAGCTGGGGGGGATAGATGGAGTAGTGGACAACCTGTTTTTCAAGATTTTCTTGAACGCCCTCTTTACCCTCCTTATCGAAAAAATGATCTTTTATTTTTGCCGTTGAATCGCAGTGTGGTCCTGGGGCCTTATGAGACACGCGGGATTAATTTGCCATGCAAGTTTCCAATTGGTTCCCTGCAGGAATATTTCGTGACTCTTCCCAATCGCCAGGTTACGTTTCTTGTTAAAACAGATGGCGTTCGTATTTGGGGAGCTCTCAAGAATTTTTCGGCAGAGCCACAGCAATTGATGCCCCGCTATGATCTTTTAGCTTGCCGCACATCGATTCAGTGGCTTCGCATTCCAGATAAGGGGGTAGTTTTGATTCCAGAGGGTCGCAAGGGACAGGGGTTTTGTCAGGCGATCAGGGAATCTTCGGGGAATGCGGCTCCAGCCCCTACACCACCGCCCGCATGGTTATCTGCATTGCGGTCTAAATATCCCGTTGTCTTTCAGGCTGGGCTTGGGACGTGTCGCACGTATGTGGTTAGCCACTTTCCCTTTCGCTTTCCGCTTCCATGGAAATCCCAGCCACGTAATCCCATGACCGGGCCAGCGGAGGAAGCTAAGGTGTTAGAGGAAGTTCTCAAGTTGGTGAAGCTTGGAGCGGTGCGTGAGGTAGACCACGAGCCCTTTGTGATTCCGGCATTCGGTGTGCCCAAGAAGAATGGTTCTACTCGGCTGGTTCTGGACTTTCGGAAATTCAACTCGTGTATTCGGCATCAGCCTTTCCTGCCAGTTCATCGGGAGATGTCTTTAGCCTCCTTGCGCCCATTTCGCATTGGTTCAGCCTTGGATTTATCTAATGCCTATCTGCAAGTGCGGCTTGCCCCCCGCCTGTGGCGCGCAGTGGGATTGGCGGTGGCAGGACGGTTCTTTGAGTACACACGTTTGCCTTTTCGCTATTCAAATAGCTCGCATGAATTTCTGCGAGCTTTGTGGCCTACTGTTCGACGGGTTTCACGACGCATTCATTCCCAGATCATTTTTTATATGGATGACATTCTCTTACTTTCACAGTCTACGTCACAGCATAGACGGGATATGGATATTTTATTCGAGGAGTTGGCGCGAGACGGCTGGCGGGTGAACTGGGACAAATGCCACTTTTGCCAGGACCGGTTTGAGTATCTGGGTGTTACTTTGACTTCTTCCGGGCTCCAGCCTACAGCCTCGGTTTTGACTCAATTTGAGCAGGCACCCATGCCTACAACCCAGTCCGGTTGGCGTCGAATTCGAGGTTGGCTGAATCATTCTGCTCGCTTCATCTGGAAGGGATATCTCGTGTTGGCAGCTTTGAGGGAGGTTCAAGCACATCCTTCCTCCGAACGATGGCAACATTTTCTTTCCTTGTTACGCCATCATTTCATTCGATGTGCTATTCCTGCTTCTGTTTCTACTCGTTCCTTCATAGTTATTACTGATGCGAGTAAGATTGGATGGGGTGCGGTTCTGCTTGCTGGCCGTAAGATCGTGCGCTGTGCCCATGGGTTATGGTCTACTGGATTTCAGCATCATGTCAGCAACGTTATGGAGTTGGAGGCGCTCTGCCGAGCTCTTCGGACCTTCCGGCCTTGGATCTTTGGGGCCTCTGTTCACGCAATTATGGATAACCAGGCTGCGGTTAGCTTCAACAATCCTGCCAACCTTAGCGATTTTCTCAAACGCCATTTGGATCTTCTCTCTTGGTACTCTCCTCAGATCTCTTTTTGTCCGGGGCCATTTAATTATCTCGCTGATTTTTTATCTCGGCAAGGGGCATGGATACAGGGACCTTCTCATGTTCGCGCAGTGGAAGAACATCGCTCTCCAGTTATATCCCAGGCACAATGGAAGCAGGCTCATGCCGGGCATTTTGGAGTAAAGAAGACATTTCTTCGTTTCCGCCAAATGGGTCTGCATCCAAAGTGGAAATGGGTGGTGGATAGAGTGCGGTCATGCAAAGAATGCCAGTTGTTTCACCGACCGCAACCGTCCAACCCGTTTGGCAGTTGGCATGTGCCGGAGAGACCGGGACAGGTCATTGGCCTAGATTTTATGGGACCTTTTCCGGAGAGAAAAGTGGGGAAGAAGCGGTTTGTTCTCGTTATTGTGGACATGTTGACCAGACGGGCAGGGGCGTGGGCAACAACTGGTGCCGGGGGAGCTGATATTGTGAGGGGACTGAAGAAGTGGGTAGCGACACAGGGGGCACCTTCAATTCTGTGTTCTGATGTCTGCAAGGCTACACAATCCAAGGAATTGCGGCGATGGTGCATGCAGGAAGGAGTGACACAGGAGTATTCTCCTCCATACCATCACGCTTCTATCGGTTTTGTGGAACGGTTCAATCAAACTTTATTGAATCGTTTGCGGCGAATGTGGGCAGAGCAACCCAGGTATTTTGCCAGGACAGTTGAGCGAGCAGTGGATATCTACAATGGTACGCCTCTATCTTCGCCAGAAGAGAGCAAAGAAACCCCTAGTTCATTCACATTTGGATCGCCAGAGCAATTGTGGAATAGCTCGCAGGAAGTGTGGAGTCAGTTGCGTGAGTATACACGTCAGCAGCGAGAACAGGCGAACCACAGAACGAGAGGGCGGCGCATCGCGCGAATGTTCAAGACAGGAGACCGGGTATGGCTGTGGAACACGAAGGTGGAAACATTGAAGGACAAGCTCGAGCCGTGGTGGAAAGGGCCGGGTCAGTTGATTCGTCCTATCACGACTTCGGTGTGGGAAGTTAAGGGACCAGAGGGGAAACTTTGGATTAGACACACGGATATGATACGGCCGTACCATGATATGGTTTAAACAGATGGTATTTCAAGTCATGTTTCAATTTAGCGCAGGGAAGCGTGTGAGGATAAGGAAAAGGTGTATAAGTAGTTAAGTGAGTGTGGTGCATCGGGTACGGTGTTTATTATGGCGACATGGAGAATGATGGGGGAAAGACAGGAACTGAACATGCTTGCAGTGAATGCTACATGACGGACAGAACCATTCTGTAATCTATCTGGTTGCGGCTTGCTCCCTGTGCCTGGGGGCGACCGTGTGTGAGCGCGAGCGAGGAGCGCGAACAGCGAAACCACGCAACACTTATAGTTTATGGAATTCGCTATTAGAGAGTATGTTTGTATTTTATTTCAACCTATGCATACTAGATTTTCAACTAGCCGCAGTTGTTGTGATTTTTTGGGTTTTTTTTCGATTTTTTTGGATTTTTTTCGTTTTTTCTGAATTTTTCTCCCTTTTTCTTTAACGAAATTTAACGGACAGCTGATAAAAATTAACGAACCGGATTTAACGGACCGGATGGCACCCTTGAATGGCCACCTCTACTAGGAATGGTAATAAAGGGGTTGGACCAGGCCTCCCCCCATGATAGTAATTGGCCAGTCCAGGGCCAATCACCTACAATAGTTGGATATCAAATATATTGTACATAGTGCAACCGTCACACGTATCCAACGTACCCCACAACCGACCCATATCGATACCTCGTAGCCCACTATACCCCACGGCTTGTCCCTTAAGTACTAGAACTCCACAAGGCCGTATCTTCACTATTACTTGGGGGAATTAAGCATGTAATGGATCGACGAGTATCTACAACTCATAAGTAAGCTATATAATGGATCAGCTTCCATTAATAGGCTTTAGCAAATGACTAAAGGCCTTACTTCACTCGAACCCCATATGTTTCCACAACACTGTCTTTGTGGTCGGGCGCGCGGAGTACTACTACTGCAAATGCGTTGAATGGTCGTCATATGTTGCTGATGTGACAGTGTCCATCCGAAAGTCTTTCATCTGCGTTCATCTTCAAACATCATTCTCATTTTTGTCCCCATTTTCGAGAATGGTGCGGTAATACAACTTAGTCGTAGGGCTGAAGTCCTAGGCGCTAGGGCCTGTTGCAGTGAAATAAAGCACTATAGGAACAGTGACAAGCCGTTCGGGGGGCAGCTAAACAGGGGTCGTTAGGTCGGGGCCCCCACTGCAGTCTATGTTGGATGCGGGCAGCAAGGTTTGGTTGCAGCGACACTTCTGCCAAATGCACTGCAAATGGCCAAATTTCGGAACTCCTGGCCGCAGCCCTTGACTGAACTCCCCTCCCTCCGCCTGCCGACGAGTCTGGACAATGGCGCAGACTCCTCAAAGGCCGGGGACCTCACACAGCGCGCCGCAGCTGGGGAGCTGCCTGTGGCCCCCGCCCACGCCCCAGAGGTTGCACCAGCGCCATCAACGGCGGCACCGGTGCCCCGCCCATGGGCCCATTGGTGACGCCGCGCCTGGCAAGGGCCTCGACCGTCCATGGATCGAGGCGTCTGCGCAGCCCATCATGGCGCCCCGGTCTCAGGAGCTGGGAGGAGATCCGTTTTCGCTTCTTTTGAAGCAGAGAATCGTGGTTTTGGGCGGCGAGGTGAACGACTTCGTGGCGGATGCGGTCGTGAGCCAGCTCCTGCTGCTGGACGCCCAGGATTCCAAGAAAGATATCAAGCTCTTCATCAACTCGCCAGGTGACGTGCATTCGCCCCCGCTGTGCTGTATCTGAGCACGAGTGTGGCCAGCGGGAATTCAAGACATCAAGAATGAGGGGCATCATGATGGGTGGTGGTTATTGTGCTTGTGGCCACCAACCACGAGGGATTGCTAAGAGACTGAGTTGCAGCGATCTCCACTTCTTCCTTCTATCTCAGAAGCTCTCTGCACGCTCATAAATGGCGCTGTGGTGTTCACCTGTAAGGTTCCAAATGGGTGCAGACCGAAATTTTCACCGTCCGTAATTGTTTTCCTGTATCACAGATTATATTATTGGCATTCTAGCCAACATCGGTTGCCTGGAAGCCGGCACGAAATGCAAGTCTTTGTGCTGGTCCCTGAAAAGTCCATCGCAATTATTGTGGGCTGTGCATCCTTGTGGGCTGCAAAATCAAAGAGGGAATACAATAAATGATGGTTTGCTTTTAGACAACAGAGTTGTTGAGGGCTGGGCCGTTGCGATCCGCAGGTGGATCTGTGACGGCGGGAATGGGCATCTATGATGGGATGCAGTTGTGCAAGGCTGATGTGCAGACCTACTGCTTTGGCATTGCTGCATCGATGGGCGCATTCCTGCTGGGGGCAGGTGCTAAAGGCAAGAGATACAGCATGCCCAATGCACGAATAATGATCCATCAGCCCCTTGGTGGCGCTAGTGGACCAGCTGCGGACATTGAGATTCAGGTATGTAGCTATGTTGGGCTGCTGACTTGTGCAGGCAACCTGCAGTGAAGTGCACACATGTTCTGAACAAAGCATTTCATATTTTGCTGCAGGCGCGGGAGATTATGTTCCACAAGGCCAACATCAATCGCATCATGGCAGCCTACACAGGGCAACCCGTGGAGCAGATTGAAGAGGACACAGACCGCGATCGGTACATGTCACCCCTTGAGGCCAAGCAGTACGGCCTCATCGACCACATCATTGGCGGAGATGATGCTGGCTTGCAGATTGAAGGCAGCCTGACCGACTTCCCCAAGACCAAGGAGGAGTATGTCAACTGGGGTGATAGTGAAGAGGATGGCTCACGCGGGTCAAGGTTCACCAAGCCACTTGAGCCATACACAAAGCCCCTTGAGAATGACAGTGCATAGGTCCAGCAAATGTTCCTGGAGGCTGGTGTGGTATTCTTGCATCAGCTTTTGTGCTGCACAGAGGTCTGTGCACCAGATTGTGCACCTGCAGATCTGCAGCACCAGCTTTCTGTGCATGCAAAGGGTTATAGGACGTACTTTGTTGTTTTATGGACAAGGTATCAAGACTTGCCATAGACCATTTTCATGTCACAGGTGAAGGGGATATCCTGACATATTTCCTTTGCATATCAGACTTGTGTACCTTTCTTTTGAAACATTTGGATTCCAGCAATGGCGCTGTGTTTACTGCTTCGGAGGAAATCTCGTCCAGTCTTCTGCTCTCCCAGAACTGGTCCCTTCGTTTGGATGTTGGCAATGTTCTATTTGTCCTCCATGGACGCATTTGCCACACTCCGTGTACTAGACCACAGGGGAGTGCCTCGTCGCTGCCAAATACTTGCTGCAAATGTTGCAGTCACTTGTGATCGCCAGCTGTGATTGGTATTCAGTCAGTTGTTCCAAGAAACAGTCCTATGACAGCCACAGGGGACCTCTTGTCACCTCACATCTCCCTAACTACTGAGCAGACAACTGTCACAATTTCGCCCAAAAATTTTGGCATCTTCTTTTCCAGTATTTTAGCGTTTAACCAGCAGACATTCTTTTTGTCATTCTTAACCTTCTTTTGTGGCAATCGATGCAACAATCACTTCTACAGTATCCTGGCGCTAACTTCACATCCAGCCCGCAAGCATCCAAAGCGGGACTTTACACAATCTCCAGCATGTAGCAAAAAGGAACCCTTCACATACAACTGCTCTCGTGGGATACTTGGACCTCTGCTGCAGTGAGATCATCGGTCAGGTTTCAGAAGGTCCTCCCAAGTATTACACAAGAACGATGGACATCCACCTTTGCTGAGAGCACACTCCCACACCAGATAATACAACAAAATGCCATCGCCCCTCGAAGGGGTCCGAACGAACAGAGCGATTCCCGGATGCCCATACTGCGCTCAAGATTGGACTGCCACTCAAATTTTCTGCCCAACATAAATCCTGATACCACAGGCCTGAAGTAAGGGGCGCCTGCACGAATTCGGAACAGTGAAAGTCAACACACACCCTGTCTCTTGTATCCACTGGTCCTCTAGACCCCCGCAGCCGATTCCAATTCTGTTGATATTGAGTCCAATTGACCCTTTACTGAAAGGTCAATTTGAGACGAACCATACTCTACAACGAAGCCAGCAATGAGCGATTTGTCAACCACAGGTTTCAGCTTGATGTTCTTGGACCCTGTCAGCTCCTGCAGCTTCTTGGCAATGAGGAATTGTTGCTCTTGTTCGAGCTTCACCGCAGATCGAAGGGTCGCCACCTGTGCAACGGGACAAATCCTTGTTCAACAATGCGCTTTCTTTGGATGCCACAAAAACGCATTGAGGTTCCTGTGCATTCTGCAAGTAGATCATGTGATGAATCAACTGCGTTCACCAGACGGTCACAGCACAAAGGTCAATAGTGGCAGCCAGTGTGCGATTCTGTGGCTTCGTCGTTTGTGGCCTAATATTTTATGTGGTTTGACATGCCTTGGACAGGCACTGAACCTGTGTTTGTGCTATTGCTCTCTTGCTGCAGAGCAGGCATTTGCCAGATGGTATGAACAAGCATGGCTTGCAAAGGACACTCTCCTCCAACTCCAGAAAACAAAATGGTGTCTGGTGTGGCTATGCTTGCTGCAGGAGGGCCCATTTGCAGAACAATCTTCCAAGGTTCAACTGCGCCTGAGCAAATGATGCGTGCCAAGGCACACACTAACGAGTACTAAATAACCAGTAAGGATTGCACCAATGCTATGCCTGAGGAACAGAGTTGCTACTTGATCGCAGTGCCAAAGGAGAAGGCGACGACGTCTAGTGGTGCTGTGTACACCATTTGTGGTGCGCTCATCCACTGGAAGCGCCCCGCATCAGCCCCAAAACCGCCCCGATCTTTCCCTCATACACACAACGGACACCGCAAAACTTCCACCGCCACTCATCCCTTCAGCAGTTCAAGCACAATCGCCGCTTCCCACTGGCTAAGCAAAGGAGCACTGTTTGCGATCGCTAGGGCAAAAGTCATCCCTTGCCCATCATTCGCATCCCTCAGGCAATACAGATCCCACAGGGTTGTGCCATTAATGCACGCTGACAGGGAGACTGCCGATCGCAGGGCCGCGGCGAGGTCCATACCCACCTGCGTGTCTGTCAGTTTGCAGTACTGGTTCTCGAAATAGGTGCAAATCTCCTCCAGGCAGTCGATGCGGCCCTTGTCCACCGTTAGGAACAGGAACGTTTTGGTGGACTCGTTGAAGCCCGCCTCCTGCGCCAGCTTCTCCAGCACCTCCTTCTTCTTGCCGTCCTCGGCCACCGGGTTCATCAGGAACTCGTTGATGGCGGCGTTCTCCTTCAGGATGGAGGCCAGCGCGTCAACATCCGCGTGCACGGCCTCCAGGGCGTCCTTGCTCTGCGCCAGCTCGACGAGGGCCGTGGCGTACGCCGACCCGACCTGCTCGCTGGCAGTCTGGAACAGAGGAGGCCCGAAACACACAAATTCAGGCGACCGGCGCGAAACGATGGATGCGCATGGGGACGCACAGCGAGACGGCTGCGGCCGCCGCAACCGCCACTGGAAGCGACCCCGGCTCTACTGGTTGATGTTTTCAGCGTGCAGACCATAAACTGGGCATCCCACCAGTGCTGCGCCCCCACCGACGAATAAAACGGAGAGGGGCGAGTTGCACAAACCGTTTGGCATACAGTACCGAATGCCCCTCGCCCATTGTGAGGCGCAAACTCACCCCCATCGCCGTGATCAGCCTGTGGCCCTGCCCCCTCGTGACGGGCGCCTTCGGTGCGCCGCCCAGGAACGCCTTGCCGGCGACCGGCCGTGACTTGGGCGCCGCGACGCGAGGCCCGGCGGTCGCCACCGATCGCGTGCCCAGCGACTGAGACATCATGCTGGTCGACCGCGTTGCGTGTGGGCGACCGCGCCCTGTGGCCGCCGGCGGTGGCGCGGGGGAGGGAGGAGGGGGTGGGGGAAGGCTGGGCCCAGGCCGCCGCCCCTTGGGCGTGCGGAAGTGGGTGCTCGTGTGGCGCGGGCGCAGCTGGCGGATGGGCGAGGGCCACGCAGAGGCTGGCGGTGCCCACAAGACACGCTACCGATCAGCATCACCATCATTGTGGCATTCTAGTCATCCATGATTCCCCGGCTGCCGACCCTGTGGCCGGGGCAGTGCGTGCGCTGAGAATGGGTCAAGCCTGCTTGGGTGCGGGTAGCCGTTGGATCCACCGGGCAGGAGGCATTTTCCATGTGAAAAGTCAGGCAACGCAGGCATCTCGGCTGTTCGCTAACCCCCGGTGCCATGCTTCCCTGCGGTGTATTTTAACCAAGGCGGAAAACGCACGATAAACTGGATTTGTTTTAACAAGCTTTTTAAGCTTTGTTTGACAAGTTCATTAACAATAAGCTTGACAAGCAACGTTGGTGTTTGCATCAATGCAGATGACCAAAGCAGCTTTGCATTTTCAGTGGTTGGCTTCTTTTCTTGTTGGCTAGTTGAGTTCTGAACTGCGCCTGACCGCCCATTATTGTGTCACGTCCAACGCCCTCGTCAAAGCCGACATCACGCAATGCCTCAACTTCGCAGTTAAGGCCAAAAGTGATCAGTCGTCATGACAAGCAACGCTGCAGCACACGCTGTGAATTTGTTAGGGGTGACAAAGGATCAGCTGGGTTGCGTAACGATGAGCGGCGGAGACCCTTTCTTTGAGTATCTGAGGTCTGCCAGCAGCAAAGTTGAACAGACGTTGCATCGGTCGTTGGTTCAAGCAACAGGGCCGACGGTGCAGGTTCAACATTCACCACAGGGCTCACCATTACAAAACTGTGACATGGCACAACAAAATCAGTTCTGAACATTTCGGTGCTGTGCAGCCTCGGTCTAAACAGCGTGGTGTTCCTGCTGTGTTTGCGGTGTGCTTCTTGCAACCGGGCGCGTCCAGGCGCGCCAAAAACATGGCGATGCCCTGCCGAGTAATTCTTCCTGACAATTGCCAATTGCAGCCCACGTTCTTAGCTTGCCTCAACGGAAGCCCATAGGCTTCCGAGGTCCTGAACCACCAGGCCACGACCGCCAGCAGCCACAGCTGCTGTCATGCAACGCATGCCAGCGTCTTCCAAGTCCAGGGAACACTAACTTCTGCTCTGTCCCATCCACAGGAATGATAGACTGGTCCCAAGGGAACGGGGCTGATGCCGGCATGATCTGCAGGGGATACATGATGTGCTAACAACAGTGTTGGCAGAGCTGGGAATCTGCGACTGTCAGACGTTGGCTATATCTCCGAATGGGAGATCAGGTGAAGTCGCTTTGGTGGAAGGCACATGCAGGGCGGAATTGTTTTCGTGGCCGCTCCATCTGTGAATTCTTCGTTCGCTGCTTGCTCCAATCGGCCCATCGAAAAGACAGTTCTCCACTTTTCTGCTGTTGATGAAGTAAGAGGCGCCAGGGAATGAACCAACAAGTCCTTGGTGCCCACAGGGGAGTGCGTTCAGACACTTGCGCACAGCAAGTGTGTTAGGGGGACTTTATGGTCCACCAGTGATCGCAAACCTTCTTTGACCAACGACGTCAGCAAGCACTGAATGGAGGTAGACTTGACGAACACGCTCTGTCGCACCCACAATGGGCTGAAGGCTGAAGGCGCGTTGTTGGTGGGTGGGACACGAATGCGAGTCCCGGCGTTGTGGCAGGCCGCGCAATTCCTGCCCTTGCTGCACAGTGCCGTGCTTTCGCCAAGAAATCCAGCCTTCGATGCAAACATCTAGAGGAGAGGGCGACGGGAAATGGCGCAAAAGGAGTAGGCTGGCCGCGAATTGTTTCTCTGACGTCTACTGCCTCCTGGACGATGATTCGCTGACATGCCGAAGTGCCTCGATGTCGAGCCCCATTTTCCCGCCTTTTTAAATCCGCGCCGCCACGTCACACCCCGCTGGCCCCTCAACACACACCAGGCTTTCCGGGATTCTGATATGGGTGGCCCCACCCAACATCGCAGTCACGCCCACCGCCTACGCGGGACCTGCTCCTCCCAGCGCTGGCCGCGGGCGACGGGCACGTGGCAGATGCCCTCGGCTACCGATCGCGGGCACGGAGCACGCCAGCCCGCGCACGACAGACGCTTGCTACCGCGAGAAACTTGGAAGGTGAGCGGGGAGCAACGCAGATGCCCGGACGTCCAAGCGCAGGGGGCAGGGCGGGCCGTGGAGCCGCTCTCAGACCAGATTAGGACTCGATTGCGCGCACGGAGACCCGATTGTGGGCACGATGGTGGTCTGAAGGGCTGGGGATCGCGTGGATCATGGGATTCTCAGTTGAAAGTCCGGTCGTGCGTGAGCCACTTCCCCCGATGGCAGCGTTAGGGCTCGGTCCTGGGCCCATCTGCGGGTTCCAATCACGGCCGTCGCGCCTCCGCTCCCGCTGGGCCGCGCAATCGAATCCCCCAGGCCGCCTTGCGGGCAGGCACAGCCGGAAGAATGTCCCGGTCGCCTTGCCGGCGCTGTGCGCTTCGGGACCCCGGCCACGCAATCACAGCGCGCGAAGGGGGACTGAAAACTCAAGCGGGATCGGGTTGGCGCCTTGGCCTTCCCGCCAACTCGATTGCGGCCGCGGCCGGCGAAAGGTTGGGGGCCCCGAGATTGCCTCGTGCGCTTCAACATTTCGCGGCGAAAACGTACAAGCGGCCTGCGGCAGGGTTTAGGGTCGTTGGGCTAATAGCCATCGACTGGCCTCCATCGCGGCCAGATGCCGCTCGCCTCTGTGGCGCGTCTGATGGCCCACGGCAGGGAGGCGTCGCGCGTGGGAAGATCGCGGGGGCAGCAATCGCGGGTGGGGGCTTCTTGGACAAGCACACCGGGTTGCTTGCAGCCTCCCGTTTGCGGCCGAGTCCGCTGCCCTGCCCCTTGCGTCTGCATCCCCCCGGCATCTCGGGTGCGCCGGAGGCGCGATCCGCATTTTTCCAACCCTTTCCGGTGATCCGGGCCCCATCGCATGGCGGCCTTGTCTCGGGGGTGCCTGGTTGGCTGGGGTGGGAGCCCAACGAGCTTTTGTGCCCGGCAGGATGCTGAGTTGCCTGGCGACCACGGGGAACGGCGCGGCGCAGGCGCTGCAAAGGCCGCCCGATCGGGTCGATGACGCGAAAGAGGTGAGTCGGATGGCCCGCAGGAGTCGACAGATCCCGCACTCTGGGAGGGCGACGTCTCCTGCCGCTGGGCGTGCGGGCCCCGCGCGCAGCGGCGTGGACGCCCGCCGATCGGCCGACCCGGGGAAGTGCGGGGGCGGCGCAGGCTCCCGCGGTGTGATCGCGGCCTTGGATCGCGTTGACACGGCCGAGAGGATCACGAAGATTTCAGGGTGAGCGTTTAGGGCGCGGGTGGCTCTCTGGAACGGCGACGTTTTCCGCCCGTGGCGGCAAGGGCGGGCTGGCTTCGACGCGGGTGTAGACCAAGCCGCCGTTTTCCGGACGATCGGGCGCCCAGGGGCTCGTTCTGCCTCGGGGATGTCGAGCGTGTCGAAGCTCGGGCATGTCGCGTTTGAGGCCGCTTCTGTGCTTCCTGTCGCGGAGCAGGAGGCGCCACCTCCCGTCATGACCACTCCCCCGCCCAGCGGCTGTGGACCCTGCACGGAGTGCGGCACGGCCACGACACCGCTGTGGAGAGATGGGCCCTACGGTGCGAGCGACGAGCGCGACACGCAAGCTGCGATCGCCGGACCGCCTGCGGCCCGCGCCCTTGAAAATTTGCCGATCTCGCTCATCAGCCAAGGCTTGCTTCAATTAGGCAGAGCCGCGTGTGTGCGCTTTCCGTCAGGCATGGTACACTGCGCGCTTCGCTGTGCTGCTGGGGCCCCAGATCGAGTCGATCAAGGGCGCCAAATGGGAATATTTGTGGCGGCATCACGATCATTGCCCCTGACTTGTCCCCAACAGCTTGAATTTGTCGCTGGCCACGCTGCTGTGCTGTGGAGCGCTGTCTCTCAGCTGATGGCCTTCATAGGCTTCAAGCTGCACTGACACAGACCTGTTTCCAAACTGCTCCTGCATTTAGTCTTTGTGCTGGTGTGTGAAGGTCCAAGGACGCTGTGCAACGCCTGTGGCGTCCGCCGAAACCGTGACAGGCGGAAGAAAGGGAGGACAGGCCACAAGGTGGAGTTGTACAACGTCAGTGAAGTGCACCATCCAAATGTGGCTTGCTGCTGTCGCAAAAGTTGGGCCTGTGCCTACAGAAGTTGATTCTGATGGTTGTTTGGTGGCATACAGCAGATGGTGATGACCAGGAGCAAGAGGTTGAAAATGTCAGGCGAAGAAACTACACATCTGACCAGCACACATGAATCGCACGAGCAGGTGAGCTTTTGTGTGTTGCTATTGGCATTGGTACACCTTGACCATATGCTCCTCAGTTGTAATGTTACTGTTCAATGGTAGGGCTGAAATGTGAAAAGCAGTAATCGTATGAGTGCTCTGAGTTCTGGTTTTGATCTTTCATGCTGTACGGAATGGAAAGCCTATGCTTTAAGCCATGATTTGTGGCCTGCAGCATCTGTTCCACGATGAGACTAACCAGGTGCCTTTAGGCTTCTGAACAGCTCCTCAGTATGAAGATGGAATTTGATTTACCCACAGGGGAAAGACAGCCAAGGCACCGACAAGGCAATGAAAAGCAACAGTAGTTTATCAAGGGATTGATGGTGTTGCTGCACTGTGCCCCCTCTCCAAATACAGGAGGCAGGCCCTATATCTTGAAAGGAAAGAAAGGAAAATGTTATGGCTGATGCACGAATGGTGCTGCAGTGTGGACTGTGTGAATGTCATGTGCACATTTGGGCAAACATGGGCAACATCTGCATCATTGCCCCTTGCTTGCTCCCCTGTCCAGATTCCATTTCGTAGTACCACCTTTGTCCACTGTGCTAAAAGGAACTGGCATTCAAGTGGTCGATATTTGATAGCAGTGCTGCGGGGTGCAGGCAATGAAGTGCTCCTTGGGGCATTCGGTGAAAACAATGAGCCCAGCCTCTGGCAGTGGTGCCTCTGATGGCTCCACAGTGCCATGTGAGACCATGCCAGAAACTTGCACATCACCACGAGCTGACTTGGTTGCGCGGGAAAGGGCGATGCACCAAACCTTCAACACATCAAGCTCCCATGCTGATATGCAAAATGGAAGACCATTGAGAAAGGTGTGCCAACAGTTAGAAACAGGCCAAACTATATTCAGAATGCACCGCTATGTGCTGTTGTTGTGCTCTTCATGGCAACAAAGTGCTGCGTACTTCATTGGCATGTCTGCCATCCCGCTGACAGTGCAAAGTGCTGTTGGTGTGGCTGCTGCCTCTCCTGTGGCTGCCAGACCCCAGCAGCATTGTTGGTGTCCTGTCTGATGTGGATTGGTTCACTTGCAAGCTGCATACTTCACAGACAGTTCTGGTACCTATATTAAATACCACATTGAGCCAAAAGCTCTGTGAATTTGTTGTTTTCAGGCTGCCGTAGCGTCCATGATGTCTACCAGAAGGATAACCTGCAAAAGGCCATTTACTGACGCCTTTGAAATTGTAAGTCCCAGATTGGGCAAGAGAGTATCATGGCTGCATTTCGAATACAGCCATTGAGCTGAAATTTGTTGTTTTCTCCCACAGTCTGCTTGTTGAGCTCCTATGCACTGCATTACTTGCTGTTTTCTCATTATACTAGAGGTAGAATGTGCATGGTGCAGGAAAGGGCAAGTAGGATCAGCCATGCTGTTTGCTCAGCTCTGTTGCTTTGCTCTCCTCCAATGCCGTGGCCCTTGGCAGGGGTCTCCTGGTCATGGTGCGGTGTCAAATCGATGGAGCATTGGCCTGTTCACGGTGTCTTCTGTGCACTGTATGATCCTATGGAAACAATTGAAACAGGCTGCTGATCTTGCCGAAGTGGGACTGATGTAGCACTTCTGTGCTCTACAAAGACACAAGTGTTGCCTTGAAGGACCTACCATATTTAGTCTTCATGCTGATTCAAGTGTGCCAGCAACCATATCATGAATCTGGGCAATTGTGCCAAGATGGGCTTTTGCTGAGGGTGCTGTGATTGGCAGGAGTCCAACAGTGCCCACAGAAGTGCCCCGGTTCAAGCGATGGATGGACATCCACAGAATCGGATAAAAGAACCAATAAAGGGCAAGTCCCCAAGAAAGTTACCGCGACGGCGACCAGCCACCCAGATGAAAATCAGCAAGGCTGCCATTGGGTGGACATCGTGCAATCCTTTCCAACCACAGGTGCCACACATGCCATACTATTTGCAAGATGGATACCCACTGGCCATGTCTGTGTGCCTCAGTTCTTGTCAAGCATGTGCCATGGGTGCCTTGGATGCTTGCTAGACATGGTTTTCTGTTCAAACTGCTCTTGAGTTTGATAGAAATGGAAGCGTCAACACGAATCACATCCAGTGCATGCTAACATGTCTCCACTCTTCACGTTGGCTTTAAGTTTCTGAGCAGCACTGCCCATAATGGAGTTATTGGTTGCTTGGCCATGTTGACCTTGAGAATGCTGTGGCACTTGTGCCAGTAGCCTCAAATGCTACATCATTAGAGCTTGGTTAAGTAAAATAGACAAAGGTGCACAAGCATTGCCTCTCAAGGAATGCAGTCACTTGTTCATCAACTCTGCCATATATGCTTGTGCCATGTCTGGCTGGCCTTGCACTCTTGTTGAGGTGTACTGCACTGGTTGAATTTTTCAACAACTGCATTGATGACATCAACAGATCCACGAATCTTAACTGCCAGCAGGCCACAACCTGCAAGGCATTTTGTTTTGGCATGGAATATCCATGCCAAGTCTAAGGCGCGCATTTCGCCTCTTCACCTCAGTGCTTGGGCAACTGCTGCTTATGGTCCATTCTTGATCTCGTTCAGTCTCGATCAGTCGATGGCAGTCGTGCTTCTTCACCTTCTTGGGGACATGGGCCCTGTGCTGGTTGTCTTGGCCATGCTCTTCAACAGGCATGAAGAGGTGCAAAGCAGTACCATTCAGATACAATAGTTGTTGCTTCACTCCTTTGTATCCAACATTACCAGCTGTTTTTGCTGTTTCCAGGTCAAGGGGAGCTGTTTGGACGGATCAGAAGTGAGGGCTCCGCAATCCGATGTGTGCAAACACAGGGAAGACAAGAATTCCTCAGATGCAACTGCGCTGGGTCAGGATTGCGCAGCCGCCATTCAGCTACTGTCGTTGCGATTTGGTGCTACAACGCCAAGAGACACTGCGCATGTGGTGTCAAGCTTGGATCAGTTGTTCGGGCCAGTGATTCCAGAGGCACCTGCTGAGCCCAAGCTGCTGACATGCCCAGACAGGCTGGTCAGTCTGCCAGCAGAAAAGATGTGTGAGCTGAGGAAGATGGAGGACGAACTGTTGCAAGCGCGGTGGGATGTCCATGCGGCGGAAGTTGCAGCAAGTGCTGTGGCACAGGTGACTGCAGCTTGGTGCTCCTTCGCATCACCAACAGGCTTAGTTGACCTTGCAGATTTAATCGTTGATCTTGAGTGTTGTGCAAGTCTGCAATTAATCCCACGGCTGGCTTGGGATGAGCATGCAACACAAAGCTGATCTGTCGCAATCTGATCTGTTCACTGGCATGCTGGCTTTGTGATCATGATTATGGTGACCTAGTAATAATTTGCTAGGAATTGCTTGCTTGCATGGCGAACACTGCGAGTGTGTTATTTGTGAGTGCCAGTGCAGTCTTGTAGACACACTGCTTGTCAATTCAGGATGAGAGAGAATTGCAATCGGCAAGTAAATCTCAGTTGACGCAAGGGCAGTCCCTGGTTTCCATATGCTTTACGTTGTTAGCCTGTGTATCAAATCGTCGAACAACTCCTGTTCGCAGAGCCATTCCAGACGATTGCATTTGTTCCAGTCCTTGGTTCTGTCCTCATTCCACAGTTTACCAACAAGCGACCCTGGAATATCCACCTGCATGTTCGAGGAGATGCGCAGGGGGCAAAACGAACAATCCAGCGGCATCACATGCGCTGTCTTGTGGAATGATGCCCACACAATTTGCATGTTGACACTCCACAGCTTTTCAAGCAAAATTGCTCACATTAGTGCACCACAGAAATGGCCCAAAATGCCACTAAAATGCCACATGTCCTGGCCCTCCGCTCACAGTCGAGTTTCTGCTTATGTATAGCGTGGTGATGTCGATGCAGATCTTGGCGGTTAGGACGGCGGCCGCGGCGCAGGCTCGTGCGAGATATGTCCAATCTTGCAGCCGCCTCCAGGGGTTCATTGCGGAGGCGAATGGGGCTAACATTCTGTAACATTGTGTGGTGTAGATGGCTCCCTTGGGGCTCGAGTGATCCGGGGGGGAGGGCGCCTCTGTTCATGGGTGCGGGGCTGCAGGGAGCAAGTGGGCAGGGAATTGACTGTTGCGGTCGTTGGCCGTGAGTTGCAACCTTTTGACCGAGCGGGCATGACTTCATGTAACAATTGCATAATTGCGTTGTTTTGCATTGCTGTTGAAAGCATCGTACATTGTATGTCACATTCATATGTGTTCTCACAGATTTCGACCATCACAGCTGATTTCACGAAAATGAATGAATGTGTCCAGAGCCGTGACTTTCACTTGGTTTTCCAATCCAGTGCATCCGTGCACGTCCTGTGCTTGACGAGTTTGTAATTCAAAGGCGATTGTGTTGTGATGCCCAATTGCGCAACACAATCAAGTTTTGATTCCGAACTTGAAACGATGGTGCCAGGGCGATTTGCCACACACGTCAGAAACTGGAACTAAGTTCAGACCGCACCCCAGTCCCAAGCGTCGATCCATATGTCGATGCCACATAATCCATGATTGGGTGGGGATGGTTTGGAATCCGGGTCTTGTGCCCCATTGCCGATGGGTATCCAAGCAATTGGAGATGGTGAATCGGTCCAGAGGAGGCCATTAGTCGATGGCATGAGTATACTGCACTTTGCAATATTGGCTAGGGAGAAGTTACATTAAGACTTCCCCCTTTCATATGTGGATGGCGCTTTCAAGTGTTGAATTGGATTACATAAATTAGATCAATTCTCTCCTTTCGTTGAGCGATGGGTAATGTGAAGGTTAATCCAATTGTGTTGGAGAACTTCTGTTTTATAATTTGATGTGGAGTGGATTTTTCTTGGCGCACAATCGAAGACCACCCGATGCAAGCCACCAGCTCAAAACGCGAAAACTATATACGGTTGAGAGGCGATTGTCAGATACAAAGCAACTTGCCGCCACCATTGGTTGCACGCCGAATATTCGGGGTATTTATGATGACACTCAGTCTATCCAAGTCGTTGAGGACGCCATCGGCGAATACTTGACGCATGCCAAATGCCAGGGAACATCCAGCCTCCCATGTGCATGATCATGCCGATGGCTGCGCCCATCACAGCGGGGTCCCACAATGCCTGTTTCTCGTCACTCCAACCCCTTCCCAAGCGATCAAGAATCACTGCATGTCAAGCAACTCCCGGTTCTGTCTTCCCTGATGTGCTTTTGCCGCTGTCATGCCCTCTTGGCCCGCATCAACCTTGCATGCCTCCCAGCGGCTCGTTAAGGCCACGGCTGCTGAGAGGGCTGTGATAGGCACAGGCACTTCAACTGCTCCAAAATTTGGCCACTTTCACAATCGTCAAGGATTCACAGCCGCCGCCGTCCCCGCACAAGTCACAACCCTTCCAGCTGCCATGGCCTTGCAAAAGCTGAGCACATTGAGATGG